ATATATATATATATATATATATATATTCTTTTAAAACAAAATTCTATCTCTAACATTAGAAAAAGTACACTTTAATAAAAGTTTAAAAACTGACCCCACACTTATTTAAATTTGAGAAACAGTACTTGGAAAATAAATAAATAAATGAAATAATAAAATGGACAGTAATACAGAAGATGATAATTAGAAATCTTCGTATATTAAACAGCAGTAACAATTCGTCTGGTGCCATTTTTAACGATGACTGTAGAGTTCAACAAAAATGCTGTTGGAAACAAAAAAATATGAATTGGAGCAAAAAAAGAAGGGAAAACACACAATTCTAGTAAACCTTAGGTTTCAAATCTAACAAAACTAGTAAAACGTCTAGTAAAACTAAGTTTTAAATAATCTTTTTAACAAGAAAGCAAACACTTTTTGTTTTGAAAATTACATGATATATTTTTGATCTCTTTAAATACATTCAATTCTGGTTATAATGAACTCGGATATAGTGTACCCTCAATTATGGTGAACGTAAGTCACTGGTCCGATTTCACTTACATTACAAATAAGCATACGAATATTCAGTTATAATGACTCTGAACTTTGGTAATAGTACATGTAGGAAATAAAACCTCCTAGAAATTAATTCCCTTGGGGAAAATAATTTATTGTCTCAATGACAGCAATTCTAAGACTAGGCAGCATGAAAAAAATAATGGCCAATGGTGATAATACAAGTAGTCTCCCTTTAGGTGAAGTTATCGGATCGCAATTGGGGTTCTTACTGATGGCCTCATGCCATTCAGTTTCACTGCGGAAACAATGGCTGAATCTTGTACGGGGTACAACTGGCACCAGCGACACGCAATTGCTTGCTTCAGTAGCAAGCTTGATGTTACTAGATATTTTATGAAGCGAAGTTAGTTCAGTTCTAGGGAGTCGACAGGAAGCATGCAACAGCCTCAGCCTGGCAAGATCTGCTGTGCTGCGTGGAAAAGTAATCAGTTTCATTGGCTGCTGGTGTCATCCCACTACAGAATGCATCTCATATGTTATTAGGTGAGTAAAAGGGCCTTCGGAAAGTGAGACAGTATTCTAACAGTGCAAGTAGCATTGAAGGGCACAAAGACTGCATTACAATACTTAGGCACAGAGGGCAATCCAGAATCATATATGGAGAGAGCAAAAACTCTAGAGAAATTACTAACGAGAAAAATGCAAAGGAAACAATTGAAATTAATGATTTTTTTAAGAAATAAAAATATTGAAATGTTCAGTTTGTACTATTAATGTATTTTACTGTATCTCTATATTAATAAAATCAATTATGGAGAAATTAAAAAAAAAAAAAAGATATATGGGGGAGAAGAATTCTAATATTTAATTTTGATATTGGATGCAGTGAACCAAAAATGTTAGTCTTCACAAGTTCACTACAACTGGTGTCGACTGTATGCTTACCAATGAAGCTTAATTTCGGAGCCTTTTTGAGAAAAATCTTGTTTTTAAAATGCTTATATTTCATGCAATATTGAACAAGAACTACTCTGATGCAAAATTATGCATTACCTTATTTACTGATCTAACTGCCAAGACGAGAATTCATTAAGAAAATAATCACTACCTTCAATATTGTAGTTGCAGGAAAAAGCTGAAATAATTTGAACTTTTTCAATTTTCGAAAATTCAGAGAATTTAACAAAAATGAGTCATGAGGCATTGTGAAAATGAGAAAGGAGTCATTGTTTTGTTCTATCCCACAAAATTGTAAACAAAAAATTACAAACAACTTTTGAGACAATTTTGAAAATGATGTTGAGATGTCTTGTAAAATACCCTCCCAATCGAACCATCCATTTCAAATTTAATGGGCAGCAACAACAGCCAGGTCAATCACAGAAACTTTTGGTGAAAACCCTATCTCAGGATTAACTGAGAGTGTTGTTCACAAATGGACAGATATCTTGCCATAATTCAATTTTTCAGTAACAAGGACCCACAAAACATGATTCGGACTACGCATATTAGAGGAAGAAATTTACTACATATTGGGGAAAAAATGTATTCACATTTTCAGAATTAGAGCCTCACAATTTGAGTTTTTGGGCATAAAATCACTGTTTTTGCCCCAACATTACAATACTTTTTCTACAACATGTAAGTAGTATGCAAGGAAGTAAAAAGACAACCACAATGAATGTCCCAAAAAACCCAGTCTTTAGAGTAATTTCACAAAAAGAGGTAATAATTAAACAATCAAATTTAATAATTAGATTTTTTAGGTGCCCAATTTTGTGTAAATGACCACTAAACCACATTTGAATCTGAATGAAAATTAATTTTTCTAGGTACCCAAGTTATCTTATGTAGGGTGGATTGGTTCATGTATATGCAAATGTCTGCAATAATTTGAAGTAAAAGGTCTTTGTTGTTACTATAGAAGTCAATTTTATGTCAATGTGACATCATGGAAAACTCTTCTTATATTTCATGTTTATTATAAGCTCAAGACCTACCAATGCAGCAAATTGCACACATTTACAGTATTCTTACCTTGGTGGAGATCTGTCTCCTCTGACACCTCCATTGCTGAGGGGTCTTGGGGACCTCCGAGTCTGTTCTCTTTGTCCCCTAAGTCCATGGGCGGTTCCTCATCTGAATGTTGCCCTGGTTCTATATCACCGAGACCTTGACGCCATCTGCCTCGGCGCTCAATAGCCTCCAACTCTTGGCGCACTTCAGCACGTTTCTTCTCAATCATTTCTAATACAAAAAATAAATAAATAAAATATTTTTTTAAATTTATAATATTCAGCAACTTCTTCTAAACACAAACTTGAAACAACAGTATCTTTCCAACAATGATTACTGTAAACTAGCTGAACCCATGTCAAGGTTTTGCAAATTTGTGCATTTGAAAGGATAACAAAATACTACAATTTTTAGAACTATATTCCACTCTTGTGTAATAACTGTAAGTTTTAAATAAAGTATTTTGAGCACCAAGGATAAGCATTACCACAATAACTGATATTTTTAAATAAATGTGGCAAATTCTTTTGAATTAACACAGTATTGCACCATTAGGAGACCTCATTGGGCTTCTCCCCACCTTCCGCTTGGCTCAGAAATGCAACAGAAACTGGTCTCATAACCTCGTCCACCAACAGAACAAACTCCTTCAAAAGTCAAATATACTGTCTCCAGTGTGCCTTCGTTTTTGTGTAATATGAAGTCTAAAAATGACATTTTCACTAAGACCTTTTGTAAAAACTGATTTTGCACACATGAAAATTAATACAATTAATATAACTATTATTAATAATATGCTTTTCATGTACTCAAGTGCAAATATCGGATATGCTTTTCATGTACTCAAGTGCAAATATCGGGTGGAATACCTTTCTCTAAACCTTAAACTTGGAATAAAAGTGTCCTTATGACACACAAAGATCTGATTTTAAGGCTCTAACATGCATCATTAATGAGTTATGCATGATAATAGTTTTGCAGCGGGTTGCAGGGTGCAGTTGCAGGGGGGCAGCTTACACAGCTCAGTACTTCATCGGAAAAAGATATCTCTCCAACAGAGATAATATACAATAGAATTTCCCAATAACAGACAGGCCTGGGGGGAAAATTTATGTACCTTAGTTAGGAGTGTTCACTTTTAAGAACTAGTGAAGCTTCAACAGCACATACTTTTTTGTATTACTGGTTCAGTTACAAATAATATTGTTTCTTCTAAGCCCATAACACTTCAGTAAACACTTAAAAAAGTCCTAACCTAAGTGTCATAATTATTTTTTTTTTACCACTTGCAAAAGGTTAAATGAAAATGGCTTTCTGCCATTGAATTCAGTGTATTGTAGTCTATTCTTACAAAAAGTTTCAAGGAAAAAAACTATAAACATTTACTCAGGTTGAAATTCAAATCCCCACCCTCCGGATGGAAGTTAGATGAGTTTCCTCTGAGTCACTAACACACTAAGAGACTGATATTCTTGTTTACAGTGTTATTAGATCATTTTTATGCCGGGAATTTCAGCGCAATATTATGTGATATCTACTAATATTTTCCAAGAGATGTGAAAATGAAATGATTTAAAGTTCTAAAACTGAGAAAGACTTTAGCTTCAATATTAAGGGTGAAATTAAATATACAATATTAAAGGTTTAATTTCAGAACATGAAATGAAATCATACACACAACCACACACGCGTCAACTGAAGTTTTATGGTATGTGACTGGTAAGATACCACGTCATTTTCATGGAAACTTAATCAAAGTTCTCAAGAAACAATTACAGCATTTCAAGTGTTTGCATTAGAAGGGCTCAATCACATTCTTATTTTAATTGGAGAATGTATGAAATTTCTCTACAGAATATAGAGATTTTTTCATAACAAGGAACATAATAAGGAGAGTACTTACTTGCAACTACTTTCTGACTGGCTACTAACCGTTCCTCAGTCTTAACATTGTGTGTTTTAGGTAAATAGAAGATGTGAGGCTTCGTACGAGTCTGAATGAAATTTAACAGATGCCGATGTTTTGCTTCCCATTCATCTTGCTACAAAAAATAAAAAGGCAAATAAAGATTTAAATATTATCACTAATATAAATAATAAAATGTATTTCCTTGGTACAGCTATTCGTAAAAATCTAAATAATACTTCCAATGAATTTTCTGTTCATACATTTTCACATTCAATATTTCAAACAATAAAGTTAGCAGGTACCATGTTCTTACAGACAGAATAAAGATTAGCATTTTGAATTAGAAAGTCCAAAAAAAGTGATATGCAGGTACGTGTTCATTGTTTCTCCTAAGTGGATATCAACTTAATTGAAATTTCTATCATCAAACCTCAGAAAAAAAGTACAAACTGGAAATTTATTTTGAACTCTTTCAACAAACTGAATTATTATCACCCTTCACACAGTAATATAAATGTAAGTAGAAAAGATGTTGGGCCATTTCCTGATACTACTTATACTTTTTTATTATGCAAAAATTATTTTCTGTTAAAATTTCATAATTTTATTTAGTAATACTGAGATATCTTTACTGACTAGCCTTGACTTCACTCACAAGAACATTCAGCTGAAGTGTATTTATGCTCTGTAGCATCATAGAAGGACAAAAACTATTGAGTTCATAACATGTAACATATAATTGTGTTCAAAACAATGTGTGTATTGTTAGTCCAATGTTATTTGTTTGAATAATCTAGACAAAATTTAACATAACATGCACGCAAACAAAATTATAGTGAACGTCATTTGCAATTTTTTCCTAAAGACTTACTGTAATAAATCTTAATACTAAATTCTATGGCTTTTCTAGATTGTAGATCACATCAGAGAAAAGCTACAAATCTCAGTTCTAAAAAATAAATTAAGGACATTCTTTGGAAAATATAATTCAAAAAAATTGGCAATGTCACAAATGAATTACTAACTAAAAAATTGTATTGACCACACATTTCTTCAACATACAAAATAACTTATGCAAAACTGAAGTTATGATTCACAATCAATGTGATCAATTAAGTGACCTACACAAATAACTTACCTCTTTAATACGAAGCATCTTCAATTCAATTTTCCTAATTTCTGCTTGTTTACGTTTACGCTCCAAGAAAAGTTCTTGTCTTTCCCGTTTTAGTTCTTCTTTCTCTCGTTTGGCATTCTCTTCAAGTTTGCGTTCCACCTTTGCTCTTTTCTCTTCCTACAGAACAAATGAATACTAGTAATTGGCAAACACAATAATCTCAGATATGATAATTATAAAGATAGGAACATGGTGCTGCCATTATTCTTTTCTCTAACCTTTCATTTTGTACATCCTAACTTCATCAATAACTGATATCTTTCAATGGTAATTAGTAGAAAATGCAAGCCATAAACACCCCACTTGCATAACAAAAAAGCATATGAATATGAAATGTACTCTCATACAAATACATGAATAAACAAATTCATCTCAAAGTGTTCAAGTAAAAACAAAAAATTATTTCTATTAAAAACAGAGTTAAAAAAATGTACAATTGAAAAAGGGCTTTATAAGTACCACAAATTTTCAGTGACTTAGCAACAACAAGAGAACATGGGTGGTGAACAATGAAACTAGGGGTGCTACAAAGTGACAGACACTTTCCTGTACTAGTTTGTTTCCTAATCTCTACTATTGGGTTTTGCCCCAAGTACTCATTTCAAGCACTTTAACTCACAAACACATTAACACATGTTAACACCTGTAATGTATATATTAACAATGTGAGAAACATGAAAGAAAGAAGAAGAAGAAGATTGTATAATTTTTGAAGAAGGAAAAGAATACATCAAAATGGCATTTGCCATGTTACTCAAAGCACTATCTAAACAAAAATTTAAAGGAAAAAATTGGGAGCTGTTTTAGAGAAAATCTAGATTTTAATGCTGCCCATATTTCACTACAAATGACAAGAAAACTACTAATATTTTAACAAAATGTAGACAAGACAAAAAGAGGGACTATCACATTTTCTAAAATAAATTATTTTTGCTTATGTTTCTTGATTTTATTTACATACCTTTTCTCGCATTCTTGTTTCTTCTTGGCGAAACTTTTGTAATGTGCCTAACAATGCTCCAAACATGCGTCGATTTCTGAAAAGGAATTCATTTTCATGATAATTTTAGGATAAAGCATTTTGTATAGAAGACTAGTATTAAAAAAAAAAGTATATTATTGAAATGGATCTCCTTGGTACTAAAGAAACAATCTTCAAGAATCTCCTTTATTTATAATATGCTAAGTTGATATGACACTTCAATACAATTTATAAGATGCCATTAACACAACCTTACAATGCCTTAATTTACGTGGCGTGACTCATACCCTCAGGTCCGCTCTTCCGTCTGACCACGCAAATTTCGCTACGCTCCTTTTCACCAACTAGCAGAGGAAGGCGGTGTTTCTTGGGCGAGAAATAGGCAATTTTTGAATTTAGCTCAGAGGCGTCATTTAGGCTTGAGGATCTTTGACATGCAAGTAAATCTACTAACATGGAACAGCCGGCTTTACTTCCCCTCCGAAGGATTTTTTCGTCCTTAAAAATCCACGGCATCGATCGGGTTTCAACCCGCCAACTTGGGTGTACCAGTTCAATATGCTAACCATTACACCATGAATGGCTGTTTCAGCAGGCACATTTCAACCCATTTCCAAAAGAAATAGGCTCCTGCACACAGAACACGAAAATGTTGCAGTCTGTAGAAAGATTCTTGAACATTGTATATTTTAATCTGAGCAGTGACAGAAGAAGTGATAGCCAATTGTGCTTTGCCTTTCAAAATGGGAAACAACAGATGCACTTTCCTCCAAAACTTGTTCTCTGTAATCAAGGAAGAGATCACATTTCAATCTCAAGAGAGATCTATTGGTCCTACTTCTATTGGCATCTATTTTAACTATTAACCTTCACTTGGACTTCCATCAGACCTAGATCAAAGATTACACCATGTACTAGTGTCTTCACATGACCAAGCCCTTACAGGAATGAGACAACTCATGGGCTAAAGATATCCAAAGGAGGAGCTTGATCTTCTGGACCTCATGGGTCCTTTAGAAATAGGTTTCTCTTGCAGCTGCTCTGTGAGATATGGGCATTTGCAGCTAGCGAAAGAAACCTGAGATCCTTCTCATAAGCAACACTCACTGCTGGATACTTCGACTGACATGAAATTTTACCAGTTTGTTCAGCACCTTTGAAACTTTAATAGAGTTTCTCTAACATTTAGTGTTCAGACCTTCCATGACCTGTTGCCTGTCAAGCATGGAAATTGCCATGCATCGCTTGTTCAGTGATAATTTCTTGTAAGCTGCATTGCCACTATCAGCCTATCTGTCGGCAGATCTCAGTTGCCTTGTTGGACATGCAGAGTGACAAAATTGGGTGTTCACATGGCAGTAAGCTGAGAAAATCAACACCTGCATGAATAATCCAAATACCATATTTACATAGATATAGGTGTGTGTGTGTATATATATATATATATACACACACACACACACACCACCTATATCGATTTAAATTGCGTATTTGATTAATATTTATATACTATATTATATATATATATATTATTATATATATATATATAATATATATATATAAAATACTCAAAACAGAGTAATATAAAATGCCAACAAGCCCACTGAATGCAGGTTTCTTTTGCAGCTTTCTTAAAAATTGTATTGGTTTTTGATATCCTTACAACTGGCTTCGGTAGAATGACGCATGTCACTGTGCACTTCAAACTAAAAAGAGGCCAATGAATGTTATCAGTTTGTTTCTTTGTTGCTATTCCATTATCTGCCAGGAGAGAACAAACATGCGAGAAATCTCAAACTGGTTGATAGACTCACGTAACATTTGTTGTGCTGCTGATGCAATGGTTTGTCTCTTGCAGGAGGCACGAGGTCATGAAAGGTCTTGATGCAAAACGTCTAAAATACTACTTCTAAAATGCCATAGCTCCTAAAATATTTGGATACCTAGGGTTTGCATGATGTTCAACTAACTAGTGAAATTTCACGTGAATACGAGTATTCAGCATGGTGGGTTTTTAATGTCTTGAGCAATTTCAATAGTTTCCAGGTTTCAATGCTTAACGATGCAAGTAGTTTACAATTTCATCAATGTTAATTTCCACTTCCCCAACAACTCCAAAACTATACATTTTCCCTCAAAGTATTTTAATTGATAATTAAAAAACGAAAACATGTAAGAACTTTTCTCTCCCTTATCTCTGCTGAATAACTTCAACACCGTGACATCCCCTGCATGCAGCTACATGCTGTATGCATTTGTCTGTGTGAGGGGTGATTAGCCTGGTTTTCCCAGTACAGGTTTGACCTGGTCGCTCTTCAGCAAATTAAAACTTTTACAGCCTTTTAGATAATGAATCAAGGTTTGATTTTGTGTATGGTGATTTACTGAAAGACTTATTGATACATGAATCAAAACATCCTACCGAGCATGGCATGGTATATTTTCACAGCATTGAAAATGGCATCCTGTAATAGTATTTGTCTACGTCTGAAATTCTGCATCTTTTGGAAGAAAATCGAAGTCATTCATCAGACAGTAAATCGGATGATTCCATCTTAAAATTAATGCTTTGTCATCATGAATTACACTTCTATAATATTTTATTATTCTTGAAACTTTGTGGAGAATAACAAACATTACAGACATCATTAGAATAAGTTAGTTACTATCACAAGTGAACAATGCACATCCTGCATAGCTGTGCAAAAGAGTATCTTGCATTGGCAGGCTGAGACACAAGAAAGTGCTCCTTTGCTGAAGGGTAAAAAGAAATCGATGGAAACCTACAAAATGACTGTTCAAAAGCATGTCTTATCCGCACCTTACTATCTATATACATTATCTTTAGTTTTTATGAATCGAGCAGTAATTTTAAAGAAACAATTACAAACCAAAACTGTTTCTTAATTTAAAAAAGCAATTTACAGTTAAAAAGTATACCTTACTAACGGTTTGCAGTAGCTTACTAACTACGGCCCACAAATCTTAGAAAAACCATACTCTTTTCTCTACAATTTTCACCTTCAAATATATAATGAAAAAGTTTGAACTGAGTGAATGCAGAAGGATTTATTTATTTATTTATTTCATAGTTGTGTGGCCCAACTATTAACTATAAAGTCTGCCATGGCACTTAGAGGCTGAAAGATTGAGCATCTTTAGCTTGATAGATGGAAAGTCACAGGTTAATCCTCAGTAGCAGCAGTGACACTCTCTGGCACAGTTCTTTCAAGAGGATGTGACACTATGTACAACATGCCCCCAACTAATATGATATCTAAAAAATCTAGTGGCAATTTAAACACCCCAACATTTCAAATTGACAAGATGGGTTAAAGAGCATGATTCATTTCTCAAGTTTTTTGATTTGAATTGAACAGCAATTCAAATACACAAATTTATAATCTCCATCACACACCTTTCATAACTTCTTTGATCAGAACTCTGAGCAGCCATGGCTTCTTGTCGGGACGGGGGTTCTTTGGGGGTCGCGATAACACGTGAAGATACTGCAGGCTGTAAGATTAAGAAACTCTGTAAGATATTTGATTAAGATACAAGGCAGAATAAATACTAAATAAAATCAATAAAAGATACAGATGTAACATGTTTTTTCCAGCATTCAAAACGTAAAGCTATATGGGAAACTAAATTTGTCAAAATTGATCGTAATAAATAAGTACAAAAGACACACTTCTTTCACAAAAATTCTACATTATATTGTTAAAAAATTAAATTACATAAAAACACAAATCAGTGCTAAAATAATAAAGTAAGATCCAAACTTAATATGGTAATTACAAACTGAATATGTATTCACAATTTTTAATTATATATAATCTTTTCAAACTAAAATTTACATATCTTTACGACAAATAATGCAATAAATAAAAATTAAAGCACTAAAACCTCTCACACTAGTGTAATTGAGCAATAAAGAATCTCCAAGTATCAGATTACTTATTTTCTACAGAAAATTCTCATAACAAGTAAAACTCCCTACTGTAAATATTGAATTTCGTTCTTTGTAACTTGTAAACATAGAATTTTGGTATATATAATGTAATATGATAATACATTTTTACTTGTGGAAAACTGACATAACCCTCTCCTATTTCAAAACAGTATTCTTGACAAAATATCCTCAAAACTTATTTACATTATATTTTTAAATTTTAATTAATAACACAATAAAAATGCATTTGGCACAAATGATTCGAAGAAAAGGAAAATACTCTTCTTACCCACTACTTTTGAAAAAGTATTCCTCTCATGTGATCCCTATTACTTCAGTTATTGAGTCAGCATTACAAATAAATTTGAAAATGGTTTTAAGCACTTTAGTTTTAAACTGATGATTTTTAACCAACTCTTTTGTAAGAATTTCTATTCACACGTTGAAAAAGTAACAATGTTTATGGAAATGAATTATACATTAAGTTTCAATAGCATTATGAATTAATGAATACCTTATTCGGAAGCTCATCTTCCACATCACTGTCACCTCCTCTCTTCGGAACTGGTGGGCCTGATAACCTGAAGAGCAAAAAGAGGTCTTATGTATATAACAAAAGTATATTTAAAAAATAATTTAACTACCAGTACACAAATCACACCTGCTAAAAACTGTACGTGTATCTCCAGGCCTCTTCTTCGCAGCAGGAGGTTCCTCCTCTTCTGGTCGCGCCCCCGGTCGCCCTCTGACAGAAGGACATCAAAAATAGTTCTACACATTTACATTGAACATGTAATAATTAAGTAATAGTGAAATTATACCTCATGAGGGGAAAACCTCGCCCCCGTCCACGAAATTCCTCCGGGGCATTTGGGGGTCTCTTCATCCCTGGCCTGCAAACATTTATAATAAATGAGTTCTACACTCACTCACTCTTACATACGGTTAAATTTAAGATTCAGAATTTTCAAAAGTACTGTGGGTAACACTTTATAAAATTGACAGCACGTTTAACAATGGAGACATAACCTCTCGAGCAGCAAGTAAATGAAACGTGTGGGTCAATATTTCATTACTATTATCCTTAAAGGTATCCGACAACTGGTTTCAGATTCAATTGATTTTAATACCAACTAACCGCAACTGCACGTCACTTGGATCACGGCCCGTGAGTTTTTTTATGTGTTCGTCCATGGCTTTAAGATTATCCTTAGCTTTTTCGAGTTCATCTTGAAGTGCGCCAAATGACTTCATTATTTCTGTTGTCATTGCCTCACAAAATCAACAACACACAATAGTACAATCACCACCTCCCTAATGTAATTGAAACAAACTTCACACAAAAATTACACAACGCAATTATTTGCCCGGCAAACTTCGCTTTTAGGAATGGCGACGAGTATCCGCGCAGGGCTACCATCACTTCGTTCAAGAATATCTGCAGATGAGTTAATACCAACATAACAAATTTACAGAGTATAATCAATAGCAAGATTTCGGTTTCCAATTATATTTTTTATTCACCATTTACTTCTATTTAAAATCACAGTGAGTAAAAGATTTCAAATTCAAAAATAAAATATTATGTACATCATTTTCATTTATCTTTATCCATTTTATATCAGTCCTATAATTTTTTATGAGAAATAAAAAAATGATAAGACTGGTTTAATTGTGTAGTAGTGTATCTTCTTCTTCATCATCATCATCATCATCATCATCATCATCATCTTCTTCTTCTTCTTCTTCTTCTTCTTCTTCTTCTTCTTCTTCTTCTTCTTCTTCTTCTTCTTCTTCTTCGTCCGTAGAGCAATAAACATTTCGTTTTGACAACTAGTTTTACAATACTTACTAGTTCAGTTCTAAAATAATTATTAAATCCTGGCTTTACACTACAAATAAGCATTTTATTTATTTTTCCTCCATCCCGAATTTTGTTTTGAATTATCGGAAATTTCGGTTTTGCGGGGTTTGGATTAGCGAGTATCTTCTGTATTATATAATATACAAACAGAGTGTTCAATGCATCTGAAGACATTGAATTATCTCCAGAACCACTCATCGGAACAAAAAGAAGTATGTAATGAAACTTGTTCGACTCGAAGTGGGGACATCTAATGATATAGAACTCACTCCTCACCCCATCCCCTGAGAGTGTTCAAAAAGTTTTTGAGAACTGGTACAATCTAAACCCGAAGGTTGTCAGACTTTTAGATTACTGTCGGGTATGCGCGAGTTCGTTCGGGGCCTCCGGCGGACTCACGCCACAGGCACATTCACCAACACAACACCAGCGCAGACACACACACACACACACACACACACACACACACTCTCTCACACACACACAAACTCAGCTTATCGGAATGACTAACCTCTTGTTGAATCCGAAGGCGCTGAAAGAGGTGACAAGAATCAGTGTACCGCTAGAAGTGCGATAAAATGGCGGTGCTGACAAAATTCGTTAACTCACACTTTCGGGTAGTAAGCTCTTGTAAATGGTGTGATGATTAATTCTTTAATTTACTTATAAACCAATTAAATTATTTATAATTATCTCTTTCATTATATTATTTAAAATATCATACAACGACAAGTGTGAGTGAAATGAACAAGTGTGCAAAATAATTTAACTAGTAATTATACTAAAATGTTTTTTCTTACATTTAGTTCTATAATTTTTTTATAATATCCTTTTTCAGGGAATAAAATAAGTATATCTGCAACTTCATCAACAAAACTGTCCTGACCCGTATTATCAACGGCCGCCCACTCAGCTGGCATTCCAATTACGTTACCGTGATGTTTTCACGAAGATTAATTAGAAGAAAATTAAAATTAATAATAAGTAAACCTGCTACAGAGCCTACCCAGAAGAAATTACCACACTACGCCTCTGTACATAACAACGTGTATGAGTGTGTGTGGATGTAGTGTGCATTGGCGCGGCAGCCCGAGAGCGAGTTCAGGCCTAGCGGCAACGTCTGCCATGGGTTAAACGGGTACTTGTGGTTACCATGTAGACATTCCCGTATTCCGGCCTCCTCAACCTGACAAGTGAATTTCATCGACACACAGCAACATATACGGGGACCTTGGAAGGCAAACGCACACTACAGTCTTGGCTCAGCTGGGAATCGAACCCGGGGACGCGTAATGGAAAGTGAGCGTGCTGAGCACACCCACTCGGAATTAGGAGTGAGAGAAATATTCTATAAAAGTCAAATCCCAGAAATGAACGAACTTTCTGGATAATGCGCCGATTCAAAACGAATACGCGATTAACTATGTGGCAAAATCGGCTCAACAGTTAGGCAGCCAGCAAGAAAAACCACGTGTGATAAGCTCAAAGGTAAAACGTTTTGAGAAGTTATCTGATGAAGAACAGGGAAACGCAAGTATGGTGGCCTGTAGTTGTCGGCGTTGCTCCACATAATTTTTTGAAAGTGTCGAAAAAACCTATGCCTCTGGGGAATGAGTACACAACTAATTCCGGTTGGATAATGTTTGTTAGATAGAGATAGTGTGAAGGAGTTGTGTACCATACCGATGTAGCATCTTAAACTATACGACATATTGAATTCAAAGTGTCGTTTCTTAATATCCTCTTATATTACGAGCTCAAAGATAATGTTTTGCTCTAATGATAGAAAATTATTTTTCATCGCCGATTATGACCATGACATACCTTTCCAGCGGCACTAAGGAGCCTCCATACTGATTCAAAGATGTCCAATTTGTCACTAGGCCATGTACGTACTATCATAGGTACATTTCCCCCCCAAACTTTTACAATATATAGTGCTAATTGTGCTGTTTAAGATGACAAAGTTCATTTTGGGGTATTCTTTTGCTTTTTCAAAAATTACACAAATGTATACTTTTTTTATCTCTCACGCCCTTAATTGGATTTGCACATTTCCACCAATTTGTAAACACTATTGAATTTGTGAGTGAAATTGCTTCAAATGACTTTTAATGACATTTATGAAAACTCAAAAATTTTCTGTGAAAAAGAACTTCAAGATTTTCATTTACAGTAACGCTTAACAATATAAAAACAATTTTCTTAAAAAGCGACTCCAAATTTTTCAATGAAAATTCTCATTTATGACGTGGGTTCACTCTTCTTTCATACTGATACGAAAAGTTTGTAAAATTTGCAAATAATTGGAATTTTCAAACATGGAAAAAAAGTTTACAATCCAAAACCCTGTATTTAAAAACCAGATTTGGATGTATCCATGGATCTCCAGATCTCTACGCGTGAAAATGTAAAAATCGGTAAAGATTATACTTATATTATGAAAATGTAAAATTTACAAACGTAAATAAAAAAAACGGAAAACTGTAATATCTAAAACTCCGATGTGTAAGGCCCATTTAAGTACTTACATTTTTTATCGTTCTTACTACATGATTGTCCGGACCCGTTGTAATTCAGCATTCTGATCCGAAAGAAAGAAAGTTCTGTTAAGAAACGTTTTTTTCCACCTTTAATAAAATAATTTCAGAACGTAGGTAAAATATTTGCAGTTTAATGTTGTTAATGTAAAGGCAATTTAACTTGTCCAGCATAGAGAGTGATTACATTATTACAGCTATAATACTCGAGTTAAATAATGTCGATGGCTAGTCGACAGATTCTCCAAACGGTTCGGTGAAATGAAACTC